TGAGAGATTGGTCTATACACAAAACCATTTGGACATCAAAGATCACATTTAAAAAGAAAATAACAAGTGAACAAATATTTGTGACAAGTATGATAGGTAATGGATGTATATTCCTTAATAGGTCTTAGAGTTCAATTAAAAAGTAATTCCTCAGGAGAAAGGTGAACAAAGGATGTGAACAGAGCATTCACACACATGCATACATAAATACAATGGTCAATAAGTGCTTCAACGGGATCATCAGACAGAAATGCTAAAGTAACTCCAAGTGTTGAGATTATGGGTTAGTTTTGTATTTTATGTATTTAGACCTTCCAATCACTGGTTCATTTCCCAAACGGCCTCAGTGGACGGACCTGACCAATCCAAAGCCAGGCACCAGAACCCTTCTCTAGACCCCTAATGTGAATATAGGGTCTTAATGTCCTGGACTATCCACCAATGCTTTTCCAGGCCGCAACAGGGAACTGGATGGGAAGTGGAGCAGCTGGGATTTGAACTGGTGCTAATGTGGAATGCCCTCACAGCAAGTGAAGGTTTAGTCTGCTATGCCATGGCACTGGTCTCAGTTTTGTATTTTTTATAAATTGTTATATTCAAAGTTTTTTAGTAAGGTGTATGCTACTTTTATTAGGAGAAAAACCTAATTTTGTATTAAATATATCTTTCTTATTAATCAAAATACAACTTGAAATCAGATGTCAGAAAAGACGAAATAGAGAATGCTGTGAAACAGAAGCGCTAACATTTGGAGATGGTGGTAGTGTGAGTTAGACCAATCCTCCCAAACACAGGAGCAATGTGTCAAGAGCCCATCAAGCACTTTCAATCTCTGCATGTTCTAAAATATAAGCATGGTTTGTATAGCATGTCTTACAATGATATTTTATCCACTGTCCAACAAGAGAATAATAACTTTAAATTCTTATTTACATAAATAATTCAAATATACAAATATGTAAGTTAAACATACTAGAAATTTCATAGGACCCTGCATGGTAGCCTAGCAGTGTCTCCACTTTGAACACGCCAGGATTCCATATGGGTGCTGGTTCTAATCCCAGCAGCTCCACTTCCCATCCAGCTCCCTGCTTGTGACCTGCGAAAGCAGTCAAGGATGGCCCAAAGCCTTGGGACCCTGCACCCATGGGTGCATGGGAGACATGGAGAAAGTTCCTGGCTCCTGGCTTCGGTTTGGCACAGCTCCAGCCATTGTGGTCAGTTGGAGAGTGACTCATCAGACAGAAGATCTTCCTCTCCGTCTCTCCTCCTCTTTGTATATCTGACTTTACAATAAAAATAAATAAATTTTTTAAAAAAGGAAATTTCATAAATGAACATTTATATATTATACAGACATATCAGTGCATAGGTAATATATTAAGACACATAATACAGTTTTAGACTCCCAAAGTATATATGGAATCAAAGATATTTAGTAAATCATAGTGTAGACAACTTAAGTAATTCTATGTGATTACTGAAGTATATATATTTTTTTCTGAAGCATATATAATTTTTAAAGATTTATTTATTTATTGGAAAGTCAGATATACAAAGAGGAGGAGAGACAGAGAGGAAGATCTTCCGTCTGATGATTCACTCCCCAAGTGAGTGCAACATCCGATGCTATGCCGAACCAAAGCCAGGATCCAGGAACTTCTTCCAGGTATCCCACATGGGTGCAGGGTCCCAAGGTTTTGGGCCATCCTCGACTGCTTTCCCAGGCCACAAGCAGGGGGCAGGATGGGAAGTGGAGCTGCCGGGATTAGAACTGGCACCCATATGGGGTCCCGGGGCATTCAAGGTGAGGACTTCAGCAGCTAGGCCACGCCACCGGGCCCTGAAGTATATTTCAAAAAGGCATTTACTAACATGGAAAACGTTAATGATATGTTAGGTAAAAACTAGTTTTCTGGGTATCTATGAATTTAGCTTTATAAATATATGTGTACATGTATTTCTACTTAGAAAAATACTGAGTGTATATATAAAAAATGTGAGCAAAGTTTTTCGGATGGACTTCAGAAAGACAATGTTTACTTTGACCTGTTAATTTGGCTTTCTAAATTATGTATAAAGAACTATCTTACCTGCTATATCTGCTATATTCCAGTACCAGCTCCCCCCCAAAACTTTGTAATTTAAAAAAGAAAACAAAGAGAATTTAGTTTTTTAATAGTGTAAAAAATTTTTAACCAAGAGTTAAAATATTCAGTTAAAAATTCAGTCTAGAAGCAAGCATTCCGTAGAGCAGTTGAGATCCTGGTTAGGAGGCCTCATCCCACATCTGAATGCCTTTGTTCAGTTGTGCTCTAGCTTTTGATGCCAGCTTCAAGGGAGGCAGCCATCTTAGCTGGACTCACTGGGCATCTGCCACACTGTAGGAGTCAAGACTGACTTTTCAGCTTCTGGATTCTGTATGGCCCAACATCCTAGCCCAGGCTGTTGTGGCATCTGTGAACAGATGGAGCTCTCTTTCTGAGTCTCTGTACCTCTGTCCCTCAAGTAAATAAATCAGAGCTCAGTGCAACTGTAACTACATAAGGTTAAGATTACCTGCATAACTCGAACCCTGAGATTGACACAGTGGTTGACCAGGTGTATTTTTGTCCTTCATGTATGAGTGCTATTACTAAGTGCAATCAAAGTGCTTGTTGCTGAGAGCAGCAGTTCCCTGTATGATGCAACCCTATCTCTACCATCAAGAATCCCATCATGCTAGGTTGTCAGCATAAATGATGCTATAGGAATCTTGACTGAGATACGTGTCAAGTGTCAGAAAGTTCCACAGCTTCTTTTCCATCCATGTTCTCAGTGGATAGTTATGTCATATATGAGATTTGGAGATCTCAGGAATTGGAGGAACCTTGTGAACGCTAATCCACACTGGATCTTGTGGGAGATCATTTACATGTAGACGACCTAATCATGTGACTCACAATCAAGCAGATAATGTAATGCTTCCAAGGAGTATTACATAGGTTGAGAGCAGAGGTGCTTTTTTGTGCCAAGAGATTCTCAAACCTGATGCAAACAAAGTATTAAGGTCAAAGGATTACTTAAATTCTGGAGTCATCATAAAAGTTTGTGTGGAGTTGGCATTCATAGATTTCATTTATGTGGATGTATTAAATACTGAAACATCCTCCATTGGGATTATTAGTTTTATCTTTTCAAGTAAGGTAAGGATAATGGTGTTGATATCAAACAGGTTCCTCTGGAGTATTTTTTTTCCCTGAATTTATGTCTCAATATTTTATAATAGTCTTTCATAGGTTTTTTTTTTTCATTTTAAATAGGCTAGGTTGGGATATGTAGTTGAGTATTTAAAAATGGCATTATGCATGATGTTGTACATGTCATATTTGGCACAGTACAGAGTTACAAATTTCATATGTTCAATAGAAAAAAAACTCAGTATTACGTGTGTGAATTAAGTTACATCTTCCTCTTTTTAATCCCCCAGTGTTAAAAGGAAGCTGCATAATGACTGGGTAATGAAAATCAGATATATTCCATCCCTAAATTGCTTCGGATCTTGCTCCTTAGACAGTGTCCACTCATTTGTTTTGGAATCTTTGAGGAGGCTTGAGGATAATCTGTAAGTATGATAGTTAATGTATATCACCATTCTGTGAATTTCATAATTTTTACAATGATAGGCCTATGGAAGTTGTGGAATTTTAAAACAGAGTTTTCATATGTTAACATTTTTTTATTTGTTTGGCAAAGTCCATTAGATAGTTTAATAGTGAATTGAAGTATTCAAGCAGATCTGAATACAATGCATCCTAAGAAGAATTTGGCTCATTGATTATTATTTTAATTTGGTGAAATAAATAAATGCAGATATAACCATAACTATAGTTTCTAAATATCACTCTGATGATGAAACCTCATTATTTCTAGATCAATTCTTTTGATTGGCTGGTCTCCAGTGAGTATCATCTACAGCACAACCATTTTGTTTATTGTGTAAAATACAGGATAATATTCTTTTGGAGAGATTACTTGAAGAGTGTTTCATCTTCAAATTTGGTTTTATTTATGTCTAGAAAGCAGCAATTATACTTTAATTTTGCTTTAAAATTCACGATAACCTTTAAGAACATTGTGCTAAGTGGCAAAAACCTAATGAGGAGACTTCATATTGCATTACTCCATTTATAGAAAATGTCCCAAAGATCTATTTTATAAAGATGGAAAGGAGATCAGCCCTGGTTTTCCAGGGCTGGTGGTTGGGGCAGGAGTCTCAACTGGACATTAGGGACACTACGCAACTTTCAGAAGTGATGAGAGTTATGGTTCTGAGACATATTATTATAATTTATATTCAATCTATACATTTACTAAAGCCCAACAAATAAAAGAAAGAGGAAAATTAAGAACACAGTCAAAAACTGGAAAATTCCAAAATCATATGGTGGTCTAACACACTTATAAACAACACATGAATCAAACGAGTGACAGAAGAAATCAAAATGTCCAAATTCAACAAAAAGAACATAGCTTATTAAATTTAAGAAGATTTAGACAATTCAATGTTTAATAAAAATTTTAAAGTGTTTAACAGAAATTTTAAAGTGCTGAGTATATACAATAGGAAAAAAACCAAAACTATAAAATCAATCATTTAAGCTTCCATTCTAGGGAACCAGAAAAAAAAGAGTAAATCAGATTCAACGTAAGAAGAAAAATAGAAATTATATATATATGTACATATATATAAATATAGAGTGAAACTGAAAATAGAAAATCAACAGACAAATCAACAAAATCAAAATATAAAGTCATAAGTTCTAAAAAAGTGTAAATAAATTGATACCCTAAGTTGATACAGCAAAAAAAAAAAAAAAGAAAGAAAATTACTAATAAATAAGGGAATATCACCATAGACCCCAAGGATATTAAGAGGATAAAAGGGGAATATTGTGAACAATATTCCTATAAATTAAATTTATAGGCATTCCTATAATGCCTATAAATTTTTTTTTAGCAGAAATAGAAAGTTCATTTGCTGGTGTCACGACAGTATAAACACAGAGCCCGCCCACGCTGCCATCAGGCCTCGAACATGGTGTAGCTGCCACACAGCACCTTCTCGTCTGCATCGCCAAGCTCCAAGAGGCCACACAGGCCGCAGGCCACAGCACTGCAGCCCCAGCAGGTTCGCACACACTGCTCACACAGGGCCCGCTCGCACTGGCCACATGCCGCCTTGCCGTCCACTGCACGTAGACACGACGAGCAGGCCACTGGGGCCACCCTGGATGGGTCAACCTCTATCTGGCTCCGGAGCAGGCGGCCATCGGGTCCGATCACCATCTGCCCCCTGGCAGCAGGGCCGGGCTTGGGGGGCTCAGGCAGGTGCACAAGGGCGCAGCCGTTGCCCCACATGCGGTCCATGAAGGCCTGGGCCCCCTGGAAGAGGAGTCAGTGTCAAGACATCAATTCTCAGCTTGCTCTATGGATTTAATGCTTTCACAAGCAAAATACCAATAAGATTTTGTAATTATCAAGATAATGATTCTAAAGATTATGCAAAGAGGCAGAAGATGTAGAATAAATAAAACTGAAGAACAAAGTCAGAGCACCGACACTACCCGACTTTAGCACTTAAACTAAAATTGCAGCACTCAACACAATGTGATATTGGCATCAGAATAGACAGAGATCAATGAATCAGTAAAGAATTCTGAATAAGGGATATATATATATTCAACTGATTTTGATAAAAGGGCAAAACGCAATATAGTGCAACAATTACATTCTTTGCAATAAATGGTGCTGGAACAACTAGACATACACAAAAAGGAAAAACCTAAACATAGACAGTCTACTTTTCGCAAAAGTTAAAGAAGGACACCAAAAGGTAAATGCAAAATTACAAAATTACCAGAAAGTAACAGGAGAAAAGATCTAGGTAACCTTGGATATGCCAAAACAGCACCAAAGACAAAACTCATGAGATTTCTCATGGTTGATCATTAAAATACAATAATGATGAAACCCCTGTTCTGTGAAAGATACTGTCAACAGAATGAGAAGGTAAGCCACAGGCTGGGATTAAATACTTGCAAAAGATTTATTTGCAAAACAAAACAAAACAAAAACCCTGCCATCTAAAATATACCAAAAAAAAAAAAAAAGAAAAGAAAACCACTCCACTTAAAACTCAACAGTTAGCATACCAAAAAAACCAGAATATTATCTGAAGATACGTCAAAGAAGATATATACCAGCATGTGAAAATATAGATACCGAAAGTGTGAGGGAATTGTAAACTTGAAAAGAAAAACGAGGCATCATTATACACCTAGGTAAGTGATCACAATCCAAAACCCTATCACTACCAAACTCTGGCAACAGAAACTCTCAGTCCTTGGTGTGAACTGAAAATGATACAGCCCTTCTGGAAGACAGTTTGCTGGAAGACAGTGATTATATGCTGGCACTTAAAGACAGGTACTTTAGATAAGAATTAGATACAACTCTTTATCTGACTTTTTATTGATTTTATTCTAGGCTGGCAATTCATGTTACATTCAAAACCATTAAGAAGCACTGTGAAAATGCCTATAAATATAATATGCCCTGATATATTGATCTATAGCAGATATACATCCCATGTCAACATTCATATAAATAGCTTTTATTTACAAGCTGCAGCCATGATTTTAGCAGAGTGAAAAACATAAACATACTAGGTCAACATGCTAATGTGGCAATCAAAAACTTATGCTGGTGATGTAAATTAACCTTAAATCCAGAAATACATCACTTACTCAGCAAGTATTTAATAAATCACTGTCGGAAATACAGATATATTATAGTCATGACATCTGTCTTTACATTTTTAAAATGTAAGTGGGAAAATAAATACAGACATAAAATCAATGAGATGCTGGAGTCAGCTCATATCAACATATGAAAACTGACATAGTAAGATTCAGGAACTTGGCAAGTCTATTGTTAAACACTGTTATCATTAAAAATTAAATTATGTAAACTTATACATAAAGCAAAAACCATTCAAAAGCTATCACTTTCAATTCATTTTACAAACATTTACTAACATCTATATTATTGAAGCTTTACTATTATATTAAAAAACATACAAATGCTGCATAATGGCACGCAATTAAATCTCTACACAATCCCAAATTCAGAAGTTTCTTGGAAAATTACCACGGAAAGCAAGCCCCTCAAAAGAATGGCCTATCCCCATCTCCCTCTTACCCCCAGCCCCAACTGAATACTGCACCTCTCCTAGGACACGACTGCCAAGTCTGATGACCAACAGTGTCAATCAAAGTGTAATAAAGGCCAGTTAAATGGTTTCTATTATAGATATGAAGGAATTTTAGAAAAGAGTGTGATAAGCACTGGTCTTCAGGGACCAAGAGTTGAGAATAAAAATAAGAAGTGTTACAAAGGGGACTAAAATAATAACTTTGGCAGTGATTTCATGAGCAAAAAAAGCTATAGCCAGCATAATAAATGTAATAAGTCTACCTTTTGATTAAGTGGCTTATTTCTTGTTAAAGATTAACTTTACATGGTATTCAGTTGTCTATTTTCAATACTAACATAAAATAGGACACAAAACATTAGCTGGATATTGACCAGCCCCAAATTTTATAGTCGCAACATTTTTTTCCTTCAGAAATTGGTATTGTCTGTTTCGTGCTTCCCCTATTATCTCCTTGATGCTCTAACTGTACCTGCTCAATGATGCCACTGAGTCTCTGATGACTTGATCACTACATTACCTTGAAAACAGAGTAGCCTTCTCTTGTCTTTCCTCTCTTTCCACGCATATGGTCCATGCGATAATCATCTAACTCCTCCTGACTCATTAGAATTCTCTGGCATCCATATTCTCATTGTTTCCATTAGCAAATCCTAACCAGTTATGCTCAGAAGAGAGCTCTTACTTAGCCTAGACTGCAAACCCTCTTTTATTTCCTTTGCTATTCACCTTGTTGGCTATTCAAAACTTCAACTCCTTTTTATTCTTTCCTGACAAAATTCTGATACCGAAGAGAGTTCTCCAACGTACTATATCTTTAAACTTACATATGGCCACACCTATTCTTCCATCTTTCTACTTTAGAGATTTAAGTTACTTAATCCTCTGGTGATTCTGCACTCAATTCTTTTTATACTCCATGATCTTTCTGAGTTTCTTCAGTTGTCTACTTATTTCCAGCTCATTATGCTCAAGTCTTCTGATCTGAGTAATCCTTTCCTTGACTCACAATTGTCAACAAACACCTTTACTTTGCATTCACTACCTCCATTTCCTTGATATTACCTATTCCCTTCACAGTTCTCTCCAGTAGTTCACCCCCTGCCTCTGCCCTTTCAACGCCATGGAATCAGGCACTCTCAGCACTTCTCCTGACTTCTGAAAAGTTGGTGTTTTCTCCTGGCATTTTACTGTTTGCTCTCCTCCTTGTGGTTCTTTTTTTTGTGCCTGCCTTTACTGGTTTTGTTCTCTGGAGTTCTGTCCTTAGGCAAATGTCCTTCCCATGTTCTATGATCCTCTTGGGTGATGATTGTTTTTCCAATACACTGTTAATACGTTAGTATTGATTAAACCCAACCTATCATGATTGTTGAATTTGAGTGTACCATCCAATCACCTCCACTTGAATATTTCACAGCCCTTCAAACTCATATGACCATATTTAAATTTATCTCACTTCCCTCAAATATAAATGTTCTACATAATTTGATATTTTGTTTGCTGATACCATGATTCATCCACTATCCAACTATAAAGCCGGCTTTCCTCTTCTTCAGCAGCTATGTCTATACTGCCCCCAAAACACCCATGAAATCATCTTATCTTTATATTTCTCTACCCATTGGGCTCTTCTCTCAGTGTTATCTCGATAAAAAAAATGCTCCAGTAGTATTCCAGAATATTACCTTAAAAATGACATACAGGGCCCGGCGCGGTGGCGCAGTGGTTAAGGTCCTCGCTTTGCACGCCCGGGATCGCATATAGGCACCGGTTCTTATCCCGGTGGCCCCACTTCCCATCCAGCACCCTGCCTGTGGCCTGGGAAAGCAGTCAAGGACGGCCCAAAGCTTTGGGACCCTGCACCCGCGTAGGAGACCCGGAAGAGGCTCCTGGCTTAGGATCGGCATAGCATTGGCCGTTGCGCCCACTTGGGGAGTGAATCATCGGACGGAAGATCTTCCTCTCTGTATCTCCTCTCTGTATATCTGCCTTTCCAATAAAAAAAATAATAAAATAAATCTTTAAAAAAAAATGACATACAATCAGGGTCGGCACAATAGCATAGCGGTTGAAGTCCCCTCCTTGAACGCACTAGGATCCCATATAGGCGCCAATTCTAATCCTGGCAGCTCCACTTCCCATCCAGCTCCCTGCTTGTGGCCTGGGAATGCAGTAGAGGACGGCCCAAAGCTTGGGGACCCTGCACCCGCATAGGAGACCTGGAGGAAGCTCCTGGCTCCTGGCTTCAGATTGGCTCAGCTCCAGCCGTTGTGGCCTCATAGGGGGTGAACCTTCGGTTGGAAGATCTTCCTCTCTGTCTCTCCTCCTCACTGTATATATCTGCCTTTCCAATAAAAATAAATAAATCTTTTTTAAAATGGCATACCATCATCTCAATCCTTTAACAGCATCCTCTCTCCCACATAGGATGCTTCTGCAGTCTGGACCATGCATAGCCATTCACTTAATCCACTTAGCTGACCAAATTTAGCTTCCCATGACTGATCCCTTCTTGTTCCCTGGATAAGTCCTAGTATTTTGCACATATTTAGCAGTGGAAACCTTCTTCCCTTCCTATATACACACACTTTAACTATCTTTTTCCTAATTTCATGGTGTTTTAAGCATCAAATAGCTGATACCTACCCCCAGGGAATTTTTTTGAACTTTCCTAAGCATTTGCCTTCCAAAACTCTTTCTCATGCTCAATCTTTGTATCAATTGCATTTTAAATAGTCTTAGGATGTAGCTCCATCAGACGCAAAGATGGTTCATTAATATAATCTATACTCCCTTTCTGATTGTTCATAATTTGATCACGAGTACAAAAATAATTTACAAGAAACTCTAGAGAAGTCTGAACAGTCATTGTCCTATCATATATCTATTGATTAATTACTGTTCAAAACTCTATACCACTTCCTGGGAATTTAAAGATGAGAAAGATTGGGTCTTTGATATCGTAGCCAACGAGGAAGAAAAGAAATAAGTAATTTCGTTTATTTTACTTTATTTTTATTTTCTGATACAATTCCATAGGGTCTGGGATTTCCTGTACCCCTTGTCCAAATTCCCTCCTCCCCCAATGATTTACCCTATATGTTTTATAATACTATAGTCCATCATAAGCGGTCATAAGTCCATCATTCTGTAATTTAAGTGTAATCTGACATTGCAG